AGAACAGATTATAACTATTTGGGGCAGGGGGGATTATAGATCCTCAGTAAGGGCACTGACACTTCACCTAGAAATGATATATATCCTGGTTTGCTGTTAAATTAGTCCATTTGTACATTGCTATAAAGAACTACCTGATAATGGGTAATTTATAAATAAATGAGGTTTAATTGAATCACAGTTTTACAGGCTGTACAGAAAGCATGACTGGAGAAGCCTCAGGAACCTTATAGTCATGTCAGAAGGGCAAGGGAAAGCAAGGATGTCTTAACATGGTAACAGGAGAGAGAGAGAACAAAGGAGGAAGTGTTGCACACTTTCCAACAACCAGATCTCCTGAGAAATTATGATGAAAATAACAAGGGAGAAATCTGACCCATAATTCAATCACCTCACACCAGGCCCCTCCCACAACATTGAGGATTACAATTCAACATGAGATTTGGGTAGGGACAGAAAACCAAACAATATCAGTGGTGTATCAGCTCTTTCAAATAGGATAATGAAATGTGCATCCACACTTGTTTCTTACCCAACATTGTAATATATGAAAGTGCATATATTTATTGATAAGTCCAACAACTCAGTATCAAGATATAAAATAAAATTCATTCCTTAAATATAAATAAGACAGTCAGTTGTTTGCTTGTTTCAGTTACATTAAACTTTGTGGTGAATTTGAAGCTATGATTTCATGAGCTTTTGGAAGAATGAATCCTGTGACATTGCAAAAAAAATTATTTGAACTGGAATTTATCAATATGAATATTTGGTAAATTTTCTTAATAAATATTTATCTAATATGCATAATTATAATATTGTGATTTTTCCAATGAGAAAAAATGAATCCATTCCATATTAGGTTCTCTCCTAAATATGTTTTATACAGTTTATCCCTAGAACTTTTGAAATAAATGACTACAAATATTTCTAATAAATCAAACTGATTCATTAGAAGAGGCAATAGGGATCTTAACTATAAGTTCACAAGCATTATCAAGTCATTTTTAGTGAGGATTTTCTACAGAAGTAGTGGATTATGATATAAGTCATATAAGGACTGTGTAAGCCTTGTCTATGTAGGTGCCAGGTAAATTACATTGATTAGATGTTAGAAAAAAATGACATTTATTTAAAATGGGAGTAAGTCTCTAAAATAATATGGTCATGAAATAAATATATGTGTTTATGTCAGTTGCCAAATATAAGGCAAATTCTTGAAAAAATCGTATTATTAGCATGTATATTGCCACCAGATGACAAAATTCTCTATCTCTTATAAACAGTAAAATCTATGGTCAAAAGCAGTACTGCATATATTTCAGAGAGAGTTGACACTGGCTGATAAGGTTCTGCAATAAAATTGTACCAATCAAACAATTCCAGAAAACTAACCTTAATGCACTGACTTTGTCCTATTTTATTTTATTCATTTATTTATTTTTGAGACAAGTCTCACTTTGTCAACCAGGCTGGAATGCAGTGAGCGGATTTCAGCTCACTGTAAACTCCACCTCCAAGGCTCAAGTGATCCTTCTACCCCAGCCTCCCAAGTAGCTGGCATTCAGGTGCCACCACATCAGGCTACTTTTTTTGTATTTTTTTCTAGAAATGGGAATCTGTGTTTCCCAGGCTGGTCTTTAACTCCTGAGCTCAAGTGATCTACCTTCCTTGGCCTTCCAAAGTGCTGGGATTACAGACATGAGACACCATGCCTGGCTGCTTTGTTCTGGTTTAATATTCACTTGGTTATTGTTATCACAAGGTCTGGAGCACAAATGATATCTGAGTAGATGTGAAAATATAGTGCTGTGTCTTTTAATAATTAATTCCTAAAGCAATCTGAAAATTACACGGTGACTAATACTACGAAAATGCCCTAATTACAAGATAAAGGGAAGAGCTTCTTGGTAACTTGGCTTGCTCATTCTGAAACTAAAATATTTTGTGACAACTTTACTACATTGAGACTGAGACAAACTGGGTCACTTAAGGTTCATTTCCACACTATGCTCCTATGGGTAGTGAAATTCATATCTAGAACAATGGTATTGTTGCCATTTGTCCATTTATCTACTGTCATATATACACTTTTTTGTTTAAGCAAATTGGAATAGATCTTGGTGATATTCGTGGTAAAAAAAAAAAAAAAAAAAATCACAGCAGTGCTTTTAATGCCAAAGGCATTCCTGAAGAAATCTGTAAAATGCAAAGTACTTGGATATTTTATTTGTAAATGTAGTGGAGTGAAATTAATTTCTTCCATTTTACATGCAAACAAGTTTAGTTTTTATCGCTTATTTAGGTAGCACCTTAACTAAATACTAACAAACTTTATCCTAAACTATAGATAAAATCCTGAATGATTATTTAAGACTGCTCAAATCTCTTTCAGTTCTCTTTATTCAAAACTGTAAATGGCAGCCACCCTACTCACAACTTTCTTTTTTTTTGCGGTGGCAATTTTTTCCCCTTAAAATTATCACATTTGAATATTATAAATAACTTACTTTTTTAGTTGTGTTGCACATTATTTATTTCCTGGGTTTGCTTCCAAGTAAGAGCCAAAGTAAAAGACTCTTGAAAAATTGTTTATCGATATATTCCGGGTGCCCAGAAAAATGCCAGATACACCTGGTATGTAGTGATCAATAAATATGAACATTCCTTAAATAAATAAATAAGGAATAATTAATTGCTTTTAAGCAATTAATAATTGCTTAAAAATTTAAGCAATTAGTGACAAAAACACAGTAAATCTCTTGTGAGTTTATATGGTTTAATTGTTTTTCTTACAACTAATTGCATAATCACATAAAGAATAACTTACAATTGAGAAACATTTTAGGGAGGCTTTGATTAAGTGTCTTTAATTTCTAAAACCATACTTGATTATGGCACACACAGCAAATTTTAAGCTACTCTAAAATGGTCTGTTTTCCATTGAAATACATATTTGAAAAATGTGCCATTCCTTTGTAGATAGTTCTAAGAAGAATACAAATAGAAAGAGGTCATCTTTAATCATGATTATGAAGTACAAATAAAATCATTCCTGTGATAGTTTATAAACTTTATAAATCTATTTTTCTCACACTTAGAAACAGCTGAAAAAGAAAGAGCACTGTTTAAATATTTTTTTGTATCCTAGTGATAAATAATAAAATTTGAAATATTAAGATAAAAATGAACACATTAAAAATATCTTAAAGATAAACGATTTCAGCATCAGTTATTTGCATCATCTTAATGTATTAGGATATAACTAACGTCCACTTTCTATTCATCTAATTTCCACAAATAAATATTCTAAGTTCAGCAAATAAATTATTTACAGGAACTTCATACAGCTTTCTTTCCATGTAATAATTTTTTAAATGACGATGTTATTCTATGATAGCTTCTAATTCCAGGCTCATTATGGATGTGCTCATGACCTTAAGCAAGCCTCTATCTTCCCAAAAAACGTGGAATTCACTCTCCCTGGTCTCCAAGTTTATTTCCTCTTCTATGATTATGTATTTTTGTCTCTTATTGCAAAATATACATTTCACTTTTACATTAAAACACTTAGTATTAACAAATATACATCTCTTAATTTACTGGTTTTGTATTTTTTTAAATGGATATGAAATACTGAAGCTATGGTTAGATTAGAATCTTTTATGCTTCATATTTACACGTCATCTATGTATTCAGGATACAAAGTGTTTCTTGTGCTGTTTTTCTTGGAACTACATTTTAAAAAGGAAAGTGCACTCATAGGAGGTTGCCTTGTTCTAGGCAGTAAATAAATGCTACTTAGGGCAATACTGAACTAGGTATTTATGTGATAGAAACAATGATACAATGGATTATTATATCTTTATCTTATTTATTGAGAGAAGTGAGAGTTGCTGAAAAGTCTGGAAAATATAAATAAAATATAATGTGATTGTCATCCTGAAATATACCTTAATTATCTTCTCTCAAATATTAACTTACATATATTGTCTCAAAGCCAACACAATAAATTGTAGTTTTTTCAGATATGAAAATAACCCAAATGTATTATTGTATTATTTTATCCAAAACTTTATATTAATATTCTTCAAAATATTATAATGTGAAATATATTATTCTATTTTAAATAAATGAACATATTAAATATATTTACAATATATTAGGTTGTTCTTGCATTGCTATAAAGAAATACCTGAGATTGGCTAATTTATGTAAAAAGAGGTTTAGTTGGCTCATGGTTCTACAGTCTGAACAAGAAGCATAGTACCAGCATCTGCTTTTGCGGAGGTCTCAGAAAGCTTCCAATCATATTAGAAGATGAAGAAAGAGCAGGTATCTCACATGGCAAGAGTGGGACCAACAGAGAGTGGGAGTGAGCAGTGTCACACATTTTTAAACAATCGAACCTTGCAAGAACTCAGTATCATCAGGACAGCAGCAAGCCATGAAGAATCTCCCCTCATGATTCAAATTCCTCCCATCAGGCCCACCTCCAACACGGGGAATTACATATCAACCTAAGATTTGCAGGGGATATCCAAACTATATTATACATAAAGAAGGATTTTTTTCCATAGGCTATTTTATTACTCAGTTGTACTCATCAAATATATTCAGTTATATTATTGCTCAGTTTTAGGTAAAACATCTAGCATGTCAAATCTAAACACAATATACCTTATGTATTATTTCCATACTGCTTGTGAAATTTGAAGAATTAGTTTCCAGAATGATTTAGTATCTGAATCTGAAAACACTTGATAAAAAAAATTTTGTGAATATAAAATTTAAGTAGAATTAACACATTTCCAAGAGTATACACATATGCTACATTTGTTTCTGGCTGTAAGAACATATAAGGCACGCTATAAACTATATCAACACCAGAAGTTTAAAAAATTTAGTAGTTAACTAATAGTTTTATTTTAAATAACTACAAAATTGTTATTTCAATTCAGTTGGGAAATGCCTTAGTCATATGTTCTTTTTATTTACAGGAATTTGCATTGTCATGTTTCAGAATACCATCCCAAAGACTCGCAAATAAGGTATGATATGTTTTATTTAATATTCAAGTATTTCTTAAAAATTTCCTATCAACAGTGTAAAAACTAAGAGCTGGATCTGTCTCCAAAGAAAATCATAAGTAGATTGTTGGTTTTTGGATTCAAGTTATAACTGTCATCTATGTGACACATCTATGTGACACATAGATGACAGTTATAACTTGAATCCAAATTACTTTGATTACTTGAATTGCAATTACTTTGTGATTGTTTTTTCCTTTTATTGAAAACCCACTTGCATAGAGAAATCCACTATTTGCTGTTTTACTCAAGTACAGTATCAATTGTTTGAAGCAGAATAAAAATGTTTGTTTTGCTTATTTGCCATCCAACAAAGACTTTCTTGCCAACACATTATGTGGCAACAATTGATCAAGACAGCAATTGATATACAGAATGTAACTCATGTAGAAACATTTGTCCAAATCCAACAGCCACAGGAGCAAGACTATGGAAAAGGATGAAGTAATTAATATTTGGAAAAACAAAATCTAAAATCTGAATTTGGGTTACACTAAGACATCTAAATAGTCCTTTTGTAAATATATGTATATGGCTCTTTATTCTCAATATATGATTGCTTATTGGAGTTATATAAAAGCACTCAATATTGATCTGAATTAAGATATTACCTGAGATTTTAATAGTAGAAACACTTTCACTTTTTTTTTACTTTGTATATTATAAGGAGAAAATATTGCATTTAACAAGAAAAGCATTTGGATGTGCCAGTTTTCTTATTTGTGACTCTTTTCTCTTTGAAGAGACTCATGTTACCAATATTCTTCTGCCTGAGTGTTGACTAAAAGGAAGGAAGGAGGAAAGGGCAGAAATCTTAAAATCTGGAAAGTAAATGTCAATCTTCAAGGCATTGGCTTTTAGAAAATCTTAATGAAAAGAAACTTTAAAAAAAAATCGGCATGACTTGGCATTCATATTATAAGTAAAAATCCAGTTCATGGAGCTAAGCAATTTTTTTTTTTTTGGCTAGGAAATTAGTCGCACCTTAATCTTGGTAATAAATTAAGGAAGAAACACTGTAGTTCATTATGTTAGTCATGTTTTTATTCTTACATTCTCACCAGAACTTTTAGAAAAATCAACAACTGGGTAGAAGAATTTGGAATCTTTTCAAACTAGTATGTCTCAGCTGTTTCTCCTCTAGTTTTTGAAGGAGGAAAAATTAGATGTGAATGCTTTATGATTATACTTTTAATGCATATTTCTAATTGAATATAGCAAAATAAAATGGAAAGTTAATAAAAAATAGCTGATTTGCATTTATATTTACCTATTTTGTTTCTTTAAAAATACCCCTGGATGTGGTGGCTCACACCTGTAATCTCAGTACTTTGGGAGGATGAGGTGGGCAGATCACGAGGTCAGGAGTTCAAGACCAGCCTAGTCAATATAGTGAAACCCATCTCTAGTAAAATTACAAAACTTAGCCAAGCATGGTTATGTGCACCTTTAGTCCCAGATACTTGGGAGGCTGAGGCAGGAGAATTCCTTGAACCTGGGAGGCAGAGGTTGTGGTGAGCTAAAATTGTGCCACTGCACTCCAGCCTGGGCAACAGAAAAAGGATCCATCTCAAAAAAAAAAAATGCTTGGGTACCTTTGGCTATTTTCAATTATATTATCACCAATAGTCATACAAATTTTAAAACAAAAGTAGATTAATGTGTATGGCAAAAAAAAAATAAAAAAACCTAGCAACAACAGAAAAAACCTTGACTGATTTAGCTTGTCTTTTTTAGTGATATATACCTCAACATAATAAGAACTATTGTTTCTTTTGTTCCCAAAATAATAACAAAAACAGAAAGACAACTTGCAATAAAAATATCCCAAGTCAAGTAAAATAACATTTGCAGAGGGAATTTTTTGCCTCTTTTAGGAATATTATTAGTTGGCATCATATACTTAAATTAAAGAAAGAATTTTACTGGCCTCTGACAAATGAGATAAGCAGTGCAAAGGGGGCAAACTCCTCTTCCCTAAGCTGTTATTCAGAGAACAGAAGGTATAAAAATACAGTCACGGTAAAATTAATTTTTTCACATGTTAAACTCATCCCTTGTCGTTGAGGTTTTGTCTGAGTGCAGGACAATAAAGGCTCACCTAGACATTCAGCTCAAAAATTGCTATGACTTCAAAAGTCTTCTACCTACGTGTTTAGTCCATTCTTCCCACGGCCTGAGTGATAGCATGCTGTGAATAATCTGTAGAAGCAAAATCTCTGAGGCAGTAAATCTCAGATTTATTAGATAGGCCCTTCTGATTGACTTCTAGGAGAAGAGGAATTATGAATAGCCACAGTCCAAATGATCAATATGTGCCTTTGTTCTACTCTTATCAAGGTAAAATGAGGATACACTGTGATTATTTTTATTGTTCATTCTAAGAAGCTGTCTTCAAATATCTATTTTTATGTAGGTCCCATATTTAAAAGATAAAATAATGCACATCATGCTTTCTTATCTGAATTTTTGTTCTTGATTCTGCTGTCAGGGTGATGAATATGTATAAATAGGCACATTGTGAGAGAACTTCTGAGAGTGATGGAGATAAGAAAATACTTAGTATTCTCAGTAGCAGATAAATGAAAAGGAAATCTGTCGGTTACATTTGGTATTCATTCTTTTAATCAGTGCTGGTAAGGCAGGCTTCCAGAGTGTTTTGGAATATTTAACATTCGCTACTTCTTACTACATGCAAGTCCAAAGAACATTAAGCAAGCAGAAAATGCTTACTATGGCTAATTCTCTCTCTCCCATTTTTGTAATGCTCTATAATAAACACATTTCTTTCATTTGCATGCCATTTTTATTTCTTCATGAACTTTGGTTTTTTTCTAGTTGGCCATAGGGATAACTAAATTTTTAACACGGAAATAAAAATCTATTTTAACCTTGTGCTTGTTACAAGTATAAACAATCAAATACCTGATATTTGAACTAAAAAAATGTTTCAAATTTGAAGTTCCACTTTCAGGTCAATCTGAAATACCTCTTAATTTGGTATCTCTTCTTTCCTGTGCTATGTCATCTACTTCTAAGTTTGGCTAGTCCACATTACTTTTGTTTTGGCTTAGGTGGTTCATAAAATAATTTCTGGAATGTCTCTATGATTTCACTTAAGGCTTACTTCCAGTCTGACTGCTAAATTCTTCCCTGCACATCATAAAGCCTTGCTAACCTGAAGTGCATTTTACCCCTCATCATGTATACTCTATAAGTAATCAGAGATTATTAACCTCTTGTCTTCTAATCACACTGAACAATGTACTGCTTTATGAATGCACTTTGCTGACCATTTTATCAGTCTTGTCTCTGCAGCTAGATGACAAGCTTGGGTGAGATGGGCCATGTTTCTTTGGAACAACAGACACAAAACAAAAACACTGAATTCAAATAACTAAAATGATCATGTTATATATATGTGCTTATAAAAGTTATCAAGAAATTAATTGAAAATTTATTATAAGTGTCTCCTTATAAACAGCAAGCAAAGAGATTACGGACTGTATGAATGTTGCTTTTCCAGAGATCACATGATTAGACAAGCAACCCTATAGTGAGAGAAATGTTTGACTTGTCACATTGTAACTTATCTGGAATTTAATAACTGATTTTCTTCTCTATATAGTCACATTCTAAGAACCAGTCAGGAACAAACTAATTTCATCACTTGTTTAGAGCTATTGTAAACACTCAGAAATTTTGTAACAGTTTTACCTGTCATAAGTATGAATCATTATATTTTATGTAATCCAGGAAACATTTATTTTTATTGAGACAGAGTTTCGCTCTTGTTACCAAGGCTAGAGTGCAATGGCACAATCTCGGCTCACTGCAACCTCCACCTCCTCGGTTTAGGCAATTCTCCTGCCTCAGCCTCCTGAGTAGCTGGGATTACAGGCATGTGCCACCATGCCCAGCAAATTTTTCGTATTTTTAGTAGAGACAGGATTTCACCATGTTGACCAGGATGGTCTCTATCTCTTGACCTCCTGATCCACCCTCCTCGGCCTTCCAAAGTGCTGGGATTACAGGTGTGAGCCACTGCGCCTGGCCTACATTTATCTTTTTGCTTTGTTTTTACTTGCCAAACTGAACATTAAACTCATTGACAAATCTTATAATTTAGAATATTTTTGGAATCCTAGATAGAGACTTAATCATACTTCTTAAACAAGTATATGTAGAGTTATATCAGCTTTCCTCGTTTGCACTCTATTTATGCAAAGCCTTTACAGCTACATCTTCACACTCGTGTGATCATGAGGAATATTATTTTATTTTGAAATTATTTACTAGGATTCATAGTCACCTATTATATCATCTAAGTTCATTAAAGTGATTTTCTCACTTTAAAACTCAGAGACACATGTGATCTCTGTATGTGCAATATCTGAGTATATGGCACATTTATCTAAGAAATGTATTATCTCAATCTAAACAGTGTTGAAAGCACAATATTTCTATAATATGTTTTCTTACTTTATCATTTAATAAATAAAAGGGTAAAATTACGTGACTTTTTCTTAATGACTAAAATGTCTCTAATTTTATTTCAAGACATTAAGGGTGCTGTGATATTTGGTAATGAAGTACTTTGCCCTCTCCTATATAAATGGTGTTTGAGATTTTAGGATTATTCTCACAATAAATAAAAGTGATTATTTATTATCACATTCTCTTAAAGAATATAAGAACTGTTGATTCAATATATTTAATATATTAAAAAACTTATTGTTCCTCATATCTGCCTCTCAAATTTTAAGAATTGTTTTTATGGCCTACATTATTAGAGATAATGTATCATCTCAGAATTCTTGGAGTTCTTGAGAGTTCTCAAGTAGTCATAATATAGATCAGGAAGACTTTTGCATGTGTAGATTTATCAGGCTTCTTTTTCATATGCAGAGAGAGTTAGGGAGCCTCAGTACTACCCTAATTTTGTATATATAGATCATGCT